TGCCAAGGATAATGTGTGTCTGTGCTCAGCGTGGGCGTCTTGCACAGTGGTTCAATAAATAATTAAATATGAATTGGGTATTCTTCATTATTTTAACTGAAAATGGTTAAAAATTAGATGCTATTTGTAGTCAAGGACCATGGTTAAACATTAGATGCTATTTGTAGTCAAGTTAAAATTTTTTAAAAAGTTTAGAATTTAGTTTTAATTATTTCGTTTCAAATGGAACAGTTTCTACAGTTCATAGTATTTTTTGTAGTAATATCGAGCATATTCTAAAACGAATTATTAAAAATGTATATAATGAGTACATATTTTCTAATTTATTTGTTTATTGCAGGTATTTTAACACCAAAAACTATAAAGTTATTTTAAATCATTCAACTACACTTAAATATTGTTTAATTTTTGTTAAGATATGTGATCTTGAAGCTAGTACTTCAAATTTTAAATAGTTACAGACCTATTCATATTTTTGATTTCACTTTTAAAGAAAGGAACCGATTTGTCCTTTTTGAAGACAAGTTTTTAAAACAGCTTGGTTTAAGCAAGCTCAATAGGTTAAGTAATCTTCAATCGATTAGAGAAAGGAAATATCTTCATATCCATTTTGGATATCGATAATATAAAGGAAGTATTAATATGTTACATTTTTATACAAGTATTACCAATTTATTTGAGAATAACAAGATAAACTGTGCTCTTAATACGAGGAATTAAAAATTGTATATTGTTTTTAATGTTCATTAAATTCTGTTCTACATTAAATTATAAATTATTATATGCTCCAAATATGTGTCGATAGATGAATATTATTCAGATGTATGGATATGTTACAGATTATAGATATGTTATAGGTATATTATAGCCGTTTATTTGTCCTGATGATGCTAAGAAATTAAACTCTGCTGTAAACAAAAAACAATAACGTTTGGCCCAAAAACATATGTTGTTCGTATTCCGATTAAAATTAAAATAAATTAGAGCAAATCTACATGAAATTTGTAACTCAAGAAATGCTCAAGATTTTCTGTTGGTTCCTAATACTCTAACAGACTTATTTGTCTTTAAAGAATGTAGTTGCAGTCTTATATCAAAACTTTAAACATTTTAAGATCCAAATGTAAATTACTTTCGAGCCACTGTGCGTACTTTGCATCGTGTTGCACCTTTAGCCATAAAGATGCTGCTTTCTTGTTTGTTTCTGGAAAACTCGCACACTGAGCGCTCACCTATTGAGTGGAATTCGGTTAATGGTGAAGTGGCCAGAACAGATGTGTTTGCTTGTCTTTTGGCCTAAGGATAAACAACTGGTGGAGAGCATTGCATAATAATGAGGCTATGCTAGAGTTGAGTCTTCACACATCGCCTGTTTATAATTGTAGGAAAAATCACGCATGCATGTGAATTGGTGTTCACGATTTATGGCATTTTTATTGCACGCAATGGCTTTATAATAGAGTCCTCTGTGGCTTCTCAGAAGCTGCTGACATATACCAAAGGATGCACGAATAGCACGTTCGATTCAAATTCAAGAAAATTAAACTACTGCCTATGCAGATGGCGAGTCGAAAAATCAACAGAATTCGAGCAATTTGATAAGACAAACAAAACTCGCGCTCATTCTTGTCTATCTATCTATCTATTGGCATATCACCGAGAGAAAAAGAAAAATCTAAACAAAAGCCATGGCGAAAGGCTTCAACAATCGGACAATACAAGAACTGCTAATCAAAAGGCGGATCAATGACAGAGCACAGATACACACACACACAAGCACACATAAGGCACAAGAAATCAAAATAAAGGCAAAAAGGATTTCTGACTACAAAGCGAAATTGTCAATTTTGGTGACAATGCGAGAGATGGGGCCGTAGGGTATGTTTATAGGTCATGTTTGCGCAAACATGCAGGCGCAATAGATTTCCAACAATTGGCATACTTAGTTGAAAAAGGTGCATACTTGACAACCATAGATATGACGAATCAAGCTTCCAGCTGCAAAAACTCTGTCAAAATTGTCGCAAAATTGTGGCGAATTGCATATTGAGGGCGTCTGTTGTTCGGGTTTGGTAATTTAGATTAATGGCAAGGGGTTAATTGAGTTTCAGCGCCCCTATGACTAGTGTTTAAACTCCTATATGTATGTGTTGTGGGGGTGTGCATGTGTTTGGAAAATGCAGCTGATATTAATGATAAAGGTTTCGTTCGGAGGGGTTAGATAAACCTATACCTCATAAGAGGAAGTGTTTTGCCGTACTTTAATGCCTGTTCATTTCAATATTTAAAAATTAGAGTAAAAGAGTTTATAAATTCCAATACTCGCAAAATACAGTACCACTTTTATTCGATAGTTGCCAAATAATTCTGAATAGGATATGTTTTAGTATGGCTGTGTTTTTAATATCTTTTAAAAATGAAAACACCTAAAAGAATTTACAGTACTTGTCGAATAAACTATGCTCGAGGCAAGACAACGTATGCCTATTTCTTAATTTAAAAATATTTTTGAGACTAGACATAGTATCCATATCGTTGTCTCAGGGACACCGTTTTACTAGGGTATTATGGTTTTATTGAAAGAACTAGAAACATTAATCATCATTGAGAGCTGTCGAGAGTCGATGTGTTTATTAAACTCATTGTTTCGATCTTGGCAACTACAAAAGCTAGAGATAGTATTTAATATTTTAATTCTAAATATTTAAATTAGATATACATACATAGAAGTAGATCCAGCAGAAGGGTACAATCATTTTTCATATTTCCGTTAATGGTTTTCGTCAATGGGAACGTCTTTATATCGAAAACGGCTTAAACGCAAAACTTATATATTGGATTTATTTATATGAAGTCTATTTAGATAATCCATTTAGCTGAGATTAAAACTACTTCAACAAATTTTGTAAAACACTTACAATATCTCTTTCTATTCTGATTGAATGAGAAAAGCCTCTCTATTGTGCTTACTCTGTTCCCATGTCTCCTTTTATTTTGCTATAATCTCTCTATAATTTCTCAATAGCTTCGAGCACACAAAAAACTACACAATACTATAATCTACATTTGATCGAAACTAGCTTTCGACTTTAAAAGAGCAGTTTCCTTCAACTTCTCTACAAATATTTGTATATCTATTCCTTTTGATACAACGAAGACCCCAATCTCTTTTGTGTCTAAAATCCAATTAGCCTGAAGCTGTAAAGACAAACAACTGCACTTTGTTATTCCAACTTCTTGCATAAGTTATTGAATATTTTAACTAATCCACATATGTGTATTGAAAAGGGTTTCAAATGAACGCAATGAACACAAAAGATATTCAATGCAATGTCGTCAAAGGATTGCGAATTGAGTAAACAGCGAAGCGATATTTTGCAAACAATAGAAGGATTGATGTGACAATATTCTCTATGGAGTGTGCGCAACGAAGGATTATGTTTGCTTTGAATTTCAGGCCTGTCGTCAAGCGAGTGAATTGTCAGCTGAGAACACCTTTTGCCGAAAGGATTAGCGAACACAAAAATTGTGCAGAAATTGTATAAAATTGTTGGCAAAATGTCTAAGCCCTTCGGCAGCTGCTTTCAGTTTAATGGGACATTATGTGGGTGCTCCTGCAGGACAATAGGCTTATAAACATACAATATTTCATATGACGTCAAAAGCTTGAAAGCTGTATACGCAGTATGGGATAGCAGCTGATAGTTGCAACAGGAAATAGCCTAAAAAATGCTTCAAAAATTCTATTAAAAAATATCACATTATTTTTTCACTATTCTGTCGCTTTTTGTTGTTCATCAAGAAGATGAAGATGTGGAGAAAAAAAATGTGCCAAAGCGTATAATGACACGCTTCCAAATGAAAGGACAACACGATCATCGTTAGTGACAGCTGGCGTTGGCGTAGCACATGCCACAGGACGTAACTAAACTAAAGCAGGATGCGGATACGCATATCCTGCACTTTTAAAAGTGCCAGATTTTTCCTATTAAAAAATAATGCCAGCTCTATGAGTAGAAAACGCGCAGGCGGCACACGTCGCGTTCCTTAGCGCTTGACCTTGACATTGTTAATAGGCGCTCGAGCTCGAGACTGTACACAGCCGGTCCTGCCCAGTCCTGGAGTCAAAAGTACGAGTACACACACATGTACATACTTATAGTGCGGCCTACCTAGCTAGAAATTGTCTTGGAACGCCTGCTGCTTATTATTTTCTAGTTATGTCTTCGTTTCTTTTTTTTAGTGTTGCTCTTCGCCTTTTTTAAGTATCCTGTTCCAAATGTCCTGCGTGCATGCGTACGCTCAGCTACAGCTACAGCAACAACAACAGCACAAGCAACAATGCCAAGAAGACACGAATTGAAGCAACAAAAAATTGAGCGGGGCAGATGTTTCCTCAACAGGCTGCAAGCAGAAATAACACCACGCATGATCAGTCCTTCATTTCGTCCTGCCGCTTGCTCGCTTTTTATGCTTAGTTGTCGTCTTTTCTCTCCGTCTCTCTCTCTCTCTCTCTCTCTCTCTCTCTCTCTCGCTCTCTCTACCTTTCTGTCACACTCGCTCACTCGTTTTTTAGTGCGTCACAGTAAAAATTGTGGAGCATTGTTCCCCGTGCCACGCATCTTGAACAATTTCTGGCGGAGCATGGGATGTTGTCCACGCACAATGCCCGCCGACTTAAGAATCTTTTGGCTATTGTTCCGACGCCTTCAAGGTATCATGTCGGCAGATGCCTGCGGGTGTGCGATAGTGACGTCTGCTGTCTGTCAGTTTAGTTGCCATCTATGGACGTACTAGGATGTATAGAATTGTACGATGAGTTATTATGAGGAATTAAAGACCAACATCAACATCGTCATGGAACAACTATAGATTCATACAAAAATATGCTGGTTGAAACCATTTTCTAAACAAGACACTAATCCGTGTTGGAAGTACTTTAAACCTCAAGCACAAGAAGAAGAAAAGCATGTTCTAGGCATCTATTACTTCAGTTTAGCTTAGTTCCATCACAGGCTTGCGATAATGTTGAATTATATTTCAATGTATAATGAAAAGCATTAAAGTCCATAATGTTAAATTTGGCTTAAATTATCTGTACATCTATAATTAGCTTTCCAACAGAGTCCACGTGATCAGATTTTGCATGCATAATGCGTTAAAAGGTCATGTCACACATACGGGCGCTATATAAGCTCGACGGTTTGGCAAACTTTTCAAAATCTACGAAAACAGAAGGCAATAAAAGTTATGAAAATTGAAAGAAATATAAAATATTCCACACATGCATACATACAATTTCAACAGCATACATTTACAGTAAAGAAATAAGTCAAAGCAGGAACAACAACAGCAGCTGCGGAAGAGCTTGGGTAGAGCTTCGGCAGAGATTATGTTGATGGCAATAACTTTCTTCATAATTGACCTATCCTTATGAAATTTGGCATGCAGGCCCATAATGTCTAAATGGTGGAATTTGCCAAATCTGAGTACAAAATTCCAAAATTCCCTTTTACCCCTTGGGTAAAGGGTATAAAAACCATTTTTCTGTTATAAAATAAGTTTTAAGATGCTCCGTTAAGTAACGGCCTCGAATTATATTCTACTTTTTCTATAAGTACAACTTATAAGTAAATCATCTATAATTAGCATTTCTACAAAGCTCGCATGATCAGATTTTGCATGCATAATGCGTTAAAAGGTCTCGTCACACATACTGTGTGACGGGGCTATATAAGTTCAATGTTTTGGCTAATTTTCAAACCCTACAAAGACAAGAATTGTGCAATTGACAGGATGAAGTTGTTTATTTCTGTGGTCCTTGGACTTTTACTTTTGGGCATTACAAATGAAGATATTTTTCAATCAAATTTGTGCTGTGGATGCAGTTGTCATCACCCTGTAGATTGCTGTAAGGTTACCAGAGCAACCACATTTTAATAATAAAATATATGGTTTACCATTTAATTGAGCATGACATATTTTAATGACTTTTATTTCATTCTTTCTTACTTTCATTTATGAAATTTTTGTATTTTTTTAGTGTATTACAGGACACACATTTATAAAGTGTTTAAGTGATTTTAGAAAGTTTTAGAAAAAAATATTGGCAGCTTTAAACTTAAATAAACTAACAACCCCATTTGGGCGTTGCACCACCAACAAATTCTTACCTTACTTATGAGTTTGGAGTCGAAATTACTGTGAAAACGTTTGACTCTTAGTGGAAGTTATGGTTAAGCGCAGACGAAATAGGTTTTGGAATATACTAGTATGACTAACGGTTATCACTAAATTTGACATTTGTAGAAATTAAGAGGCGATTCCATAAGCAAAACAAAGCAGAAAATCATCTGAGATTATAATGGAAAACGGAGTTCTCGTGTTTAGATTTTGCATGCATAATGACCTAACAAATTTCATCATTCATCAGAGGCTCTATAAGTTCGAGGTTTGAACAAAAATTCGGCTATTGGCAAGATAAAGTTTTGTATATCTTTAATACTTGGACTTTTATTTTTGGGCAGCACAAACTCTGAGCGAGGGCCGCGGTGCTGTAAATACAATAATGATTGTTCATACTTTTCAGATTGTTGTCCTTAGATTTAGGTTCTCAAATTAATCTCCCGAAACTATTTCAAGTTTAAATTCAAGAATATTTTAAACTTAAAATTTTCAATTTCCATTAGTGTATAGCAGTTCTATTTACTGTAGAGCTTATTGTGGTGCGGAATTAATTCTAAAATATACGTAGTATAGTATAAGATTTTGCATATAAATAAATCCATTGTGAAAAGACATTAAGGACATGTGACAATATGCCCATATATCAGAATATGCGAGCATTAATTCTTTTTTATCACGATATTATTGAAAAATGGTCTTTAAAAGATCACCAAACAATCAAAGAAATTCCATTTGTAACTACACATCGTGTTCGTGGAAATTGCAGCAAAGGGGCATTTGTCTTAACAGCAAGACATAGTTTTTTTTTAAGAAATCACCCCGCACAAAAAAATACAAATGAAAGCCGTAACCAACTTAGGGGTCAACTGGCCGGTTTGTATCGTCCTTGGGTCTGGGCAGACGCTGCTCTAATCTCTAATCGCACGTCACGCTGGCAAACGGAGTCTTCACCTTGTCGTCATGCTGGGGCCAGGCAAGGAACGAGGACGAGCACGAGGTTGAGGACGAAAAGGACTGCGGTAATGGCGACGACTCATTTGAAACGCTTTAAACCAACGATAAGCATCGGCAGGTTGAAAACCGGCAGGGGCTAGCAGGTACGTGGAGAATAGTTATTGTACACGCTATTGTCCTGCTCGATTTTCGAGTCCTGGCCATAGGACCGGCTGCACTGAAAATGTTGCAATGTGCATTGTATAATTTATATCATAATTCTCCTCTACATGTGCCTGTTGCTGCTGCCGCTTTTGTTGCCATTCTCTGTGTTTACGCCGATGTGCTCGCTACTCTGCAGCTTTATCCTGTTGCACGGCTTATCTTGATTTCAATTGTGCCACAACCAGACGGACGCAAGTTCCTTGTTGTTTACGTGTGGGCTGCTGGACAAAATGAAGCCGTTTAGAAGGGCATTAAAATCGATTGATTTGTAGTTGGTGTTCCAGCTTTAAAAAGGGGGAACTATTCGTAGTAGGGCTATCCTTAAAATTGAATCTACGTAACACAAGTTGATGAGTTTATAGGTGTCCAACATTTTCAAGCAAGCGCTTGCTAGATAATTTAAAATAAAATTAATTACTGGTGGTTACTGGAGGCTACTTTGGAAATTTAAAAAGACTTTAAGATTTGTATGCAGTATTTATTTCGGCTTAATATCTCAGAAGCATCTTCTGATACTTATTATTATAGAAAACTTGAAGAATAACTTATAACTAGTGGTTATTTGTGGGACTTCGCCAATACTTAATTCTATCAACTTTGCATTCAATCTCTATCTTGTTGATAAATATAATTGACAGCAAAAAAAAAAAAAGTACCAAATGTACTTCGAACAAGAAACATTCTTAGTATTCAACATTTATTTCATTATACAAATTGGTTTTCAATAAATGGTTTAAAAAGTGATTACTAAAGACTATTACTGGCTACCTATGATTACTTCAGCAATACGAAATATTTTTTGTATAAAAAGCATTTCAAGGGATATCATTGAAGTTAAACTAAATAGCACGACAACTTTTTTTATGGGAAATGGTTTGAGAAAATCTCACAAGTACGTATTTCACAAAACACCACACTAGTCTCAGTAAAAAAAACACCCCTTCATTTTTGATAAATTCCAGATATTTATTTCATTTCTTTTTTCCTGTGTGGTTTGGTTTGTTTGGGTAGAGCTTCGGCAGAGATTATGTTGATGGCAATAACTTTCTTCATAATTGACCTATCCTTATGAAATTTGGCATGCAGGCCCATAATGTCTAAATGGTGGAATTTGCCAAATCTGAGTACAAAATTCCAAAATTCCCTTTTACCCTTTGGGTACAGGGTATAAAAACCATTTTTCTGTTATAAAATAAGTTTTAAGATGCTCCGTTAAGTAACGGCCTCGAATTATATTCTACTTTTTCTATAAGTACAACTTATAAGTAAATCATCTATAATTAGCATTTCTACAAAGCTCGCATGATCAGATTTTGCATGCATAATGCGTTAAAAGGTCTCGTCACACATACTGTGTGACGGGGCTATATAAGTTCAATGTTTTGGCTAATTTTCAAACCCTACAAAGACAAGAATTGTGCAATTGACAGGATGAAGTTGTTTATTTCTGTGGTCCTTGGACTTTTACTTTTGGGCATTACAAATGCAGATCGTTCTCAATCAAATGGGTGCTGTGGATGCAATTGTCATCTCTTTATAGATTGCTGTAGGATTCACAAAGAAGCCACATTTTAATAATAAAATATATGGTTTACCATTTAATTGAGCATGACATATTTTAATGACTTTTATTTCATTCTTTCTTACTTTCATTTATGAAATTTTTGAATTTTTTTAGTGTATTACAGGTTTTCAATAAATGGCTTAAAAAGTGATTACTAAAGACTATTACTGGCTACCTATGGTTACTTCAGCAATACGAAATATTTTTTGTATAAAAAGCATTTCAAGGGATATCATTGAAGTTAAACTAAATAGCACGACAACTTTTTTTATGGGAAATGGTTTGAGAAAATCTCACAAGTACGTATTTCACAAAACACCACACTAGTCTCAGTAAAAAAAAGCACCCCTTCATTTTTGATAAATTCCAGATCATTATTTCATTTCTTTTTTCCTGTGTGGTTTGGTTTGTTGTTGTTTTTCATTGACATATTCCCTCTCAGTAGCCTCAAGAAATCTCATTACCATATTCAATAAATGAAAAACAACATGACTTGGCAGATCAATTTTCAATCTTTTGGCAAACAATGAATAGAGCAAAAGAGCAAGCACTTCCGGTTCGGGCCAAACTATGCAAATTTGGTAAAAGGCCAACCTTTGAACTGCCGGAAAAACCTGTAACTGATATTTTGGGAACAGTATTCGTGCACATTAACCACCCGCCTAGTTGTAATTTGCCGAAATCTGTGATCCCTAACGATTAGTTACAAAAGACATAAACGCTTCCGGTCTGCCCAAATAGAGGAAATGCTCGAACAAGCAAGTTGTTGTTTTCACTGTACCTGTCATGGCGACAGATGCGCAAAAACTGAACTACAGGCTCACAACAAAAACAACAAATGGGGATGCGGAAGTAAGCAGTCGCAGTGGCAGTGGCAGTGGCAGAGGCAGTGGCAGACGCAGTCGCAGAATCAAAACAAAACCGACAATGAAAGAAGAGAAAACGGAAATAACAGCAGTCTGTGCAACAGTTGTCTCCGTAAAGCAACAAGAACAACAACAACAACAACGAAATCACAACTGCTCTCGACTGTATTTTGAATTCATTTCCATTTTTACGGCTGTCCCTGGCACTGTTCCTGCACTGTTCCTCTCTCTCTGCTGCTGCATGCAACATGTTGTTTAGCATTCAATTTTTGTTGCCACTGCCTTGTGCGTAGGGAATTCATATTGTAGGTGGATATGGCAGAAGCAGTTGTAGAGGATGTTGCGGTTCGATAATGTCAAACATGTGTGTTTCCTGAATCTATGCATGGCTAATGAGCAGAAGGTTCCAGCAGGATTTATGGCAGCTGGGTCAGTAAGTGTTAAGTCTAATAAAAAACTCCAATGGAGCAGACGAATGAATCAAAAGAATTAAGGGCTGCCAAGATGCTGTTTTGCACACAACTGTCATTTATTTGGCCTTAAAAAGTTAATTAAATTCAGTTATCCTTTCAAAAGAGGAAGGATTTAAAAGATATAAATATATTTAAAATTGAATATCAAGATTAATGAAATTATTTATTTTATTAAAATCCAACAAGTATATATTTTTGATTAAGATAGTAGAAAGTATACAAATATTTTCTGACAATATTTAACATATTAGAATCCACTGATAAAGGGCTTATATCTTTCAACGAAAATTGATTATGATT